CGCCTGTGTGGGTTCGAAGATGTTTTTTCAGATCTCCAGATTGTTGAAACTTCTTTTGGCATACGGTGCACTCAAACGGCCTCTCGCCTGTGTGGATGCGAAGGTGCGCCTTTACACTGTCAGGTCGATCAAACTTCTTTTGGCACACGGTGCACTCGAAAGGTTTCTCGCCTGTGTGGGTTCGAAGATGTTTTCTCAGATCTCCAGATTGTTGAAACTTCTTTTGGCATACGGTGCACTCAAACGGCCTCTCGCCTGTGTGGGTGCGAAGGTGTACCTTTAAACCGTTAGGTCGATCAAACTTCTTTTGGCACACGGTGCACTCGAAAGGTTTCTCGCCTGTGTGGGTTCGAAGATGTTTTTTCAGATCTCCAGATTGTTGAAACTTCTTTTGGCACACGGTGCACTCGAACGGCTTTTCCTCGGTGTGCACCCGCATGTGGACGGTGAGTTTGCTTGAGGATGGACAACTCTTCCCGCAAACATCACATCTTAGTGACATCTTGCTGCTACGGCGGACGTAGACGTATTGGATGGGAACCTCTGAAAAGAAAAGAGAAAGGAATCTTCTTTACTGTTCACAGTGTTGGTCATCAACTAATTACAATGTGGTTCAATAACATTTTTGTGAAAGAGGCTTCGAAAATGTTGCCCAGGTAGTTGGGGGGTCGACTACCGCTATTTACTCAAACTTGCGCTAAATGGGAACAGTAACCACTAACTTTTTCCGGCACACGCGTACGAACGGAAACCTATTGGAATGTGTAACGAGACTTTTATTTCGAACACGGTTAAAACAATATCTCATTTTTTGAGGGAAAAGGGGACATTCTGAGGATTTCCCCTGTTTTGACGAAAACTCCTCAGATTTCAAGGAAATCTCCTCAAAACATGTGGGATTTTTCCTAATTTTTTGAGAAGATACCTCAAAATCTGAGGTGAGATTGGAGGACTCTTCCTCAAACGTGAAAGTTCCTCAAAGTTGTCCCTTTTTCACGTCACATTTACCAAGAATTAATTTAGAAACAAAAACAAACACCTCAGTAAGACATCAACGGGACCAACTAACTCTGTCTTCAAGTTTATTGAGGCCGCATAGGACCGGCGAATCAAGATTCCTCGCACGCACGATATTGCTTATCGCAGGAACTGTAACAGCTAAACCAAGCGTACCGGGTGCGGCCTGCATCGGCAGCTCTACGCCTCCGTTATTAGTACGGAGTGAAACTTCTAATCAAAACGATACCCCGGCCTGCCTCCCGCCCGCCCGCCCGCCTTCAATCCCGATCGAGCTGTCAGTGGCTTATCCACCTTCCCCTCCTCCGCCTGTCGGGGCGCGGTGCAGCGGGGCCCGAGTCTGATCGGACAGGAATCAGGAATTCCTTACGTATGCGTCTTGGCGTGGGGCGGGGCGGGGCGTGGGTATCAGACAGCGGCCGCCGGCAATATGGAGCCGCTGGGTGGACAGACAGCCGCACACAGAACGAATCCTCTGGCGGATCACCCCGACTCATACATTTTTATGTTTTAGAAGAGGACAAATTAACTGCTGCCGATTAAAAAGATGTCCAAAGCAAAAGATCTTATTTGACAACAGTCAAAGCTGTGAGATCAGATCACGCAAATCAACACGCAGACATGGATTTCCAAATTACAAAGAACTTGCATGGGCGGGGGCGGGACTATATCTGTTGCCACGCGCCAGGTCAGTCCCAGGAGACTACAATACTGCAAGGCGAGCTTCAGCACCTCGATGAGGTCACGGGACCCTAGTACAGTCAGGGACTTCCCTACAGCCCCAAGTGGAGCTGGGTGTAAACCACACACACAAACACACACACACACACACACACACACACATTGTTTCGGTCCCGATTTCATTAAGGAGGTACAGCACTCACTGAGTTGCTGGCAACTCATATCACCTCCGCGAGTGTGTGTGTGTGTGTGTGTGTGCGCGCGCGCGCTTGTGCCCCCGCAACTCTCGCTCGCTCTCTGTCTCTCTCTGCACCGCAGCAATCTCTCCCACAGTCTCCGTCACACACACACATGCACACACACACACACTTCCCCGTCCGCCCGAACTTTTGTAAAAACCGCAAACAAACACGGCGTTGGGTTGAGCTCTGCTCGTGCGGGCTTGCTCCCGGGGCCGCTGCGTTGACTTCAAGTGGCACGGTATATATCTTCCCCAACAATTCGCACCAATGTTTCGGTCCGGACCCGCTACCCTGCCAAATTAATTGTTTCTCTCTCTCTCTCTCTCTCTCTCTCTCTCTCTCTCAGCAGGGGCGAGCAGAGCGACCAGAGAGAGGAAGAGGAAACTGGCAGTGGCATCCCCGCTCGGCAGCCCTGGCGGCAGCCCGCACGAGTCGAGCAGACAAGCGAGCGACTTCCGACCTCCTTCTCCTTCTCCTCCCCCGCCTCCACCTCCTTGCACTTTTGGACGCGGCTGTACTCTCACGAGTGTGCGAATCGCAACAGAACATCTGCGCGTAATTACACATCCCACGTACGCACGCTGCAACATACGACGCTGCATCGAAGAGCACCGCCCCTCTCATAACCCAACCTGTCCGTCGACCACATCGTGAGTGAATCAGCCTGATACTGGGAGATCTTTAGAGGACGTGATCTTGAGAAATAATAATAAAAAATAAAAGAAAAAGAAAACCTGCAACAACGCTACGGACAGTAATTTCACCACAGCCCACATTTCATCTAGAAAAAAAGTAAACCCCTGCAGATAACAAACTACAAAAAAAAAAGTATGATCATTATTTTTTTTGCGAGAAAAAAAACAATTGTTAGCAGTGTATGTGTTTGGAGCACATTGAGAGGGTAGCAGGCAGCCTGTGCGGAGATCTTTCATACAGCGCCGATTAGAAACCTCATGAAAGGGCTGTGACCGCGGCAGCGCCGGGCAGGGCCGGGGGGGATGGTCTAAAACCCGTCCGTTTGAGGTCGGTTGATTCCAGGTAATGAACACAGAAGTAGCTGCCGATCCTTTTGCGCGGCAGACGGCGCCGTCATACGGGAAAAGCCACAGACAAATCTCGCACTAATGAAGATTCGACGTCTCGCTCTCTCGCTCCGCATGTACGCCCCGCGAGCCAAACGCGTCCCTCCTTCTCTTTTCATCATTCCGCTCAATGTATAAAGCGAACCCCACGGCGACCGCAGCCTCAACGTGTGTGTGTGTGTATGTGTGTGTGAAGGTGTGTGAGGGTGTGTGTGAAGGTGTGTGAGGGTGTGTGTGTGTTTGTGTGAAGGTGTGTGTATGTGTAGGAGTGCGTGTAGGTGTGTGTGCGCGATTTTGGAAGGGATGGGGAAAGAGAGAGGACGACGACGGAGGAGGAGACGGGCCGAGGCTCAGGAGAAAACCGCGCACAAACTACGAGGGCAGCCCGTCAAACCCCGCCCCCCTGTAGGCACCGGGGCCTGGCCTCCGCCTGGCCCCCTCCGCCTGAGCGCACCGTATCGGAATGGCCGTCCAATCGGGGCGCCGAGTGTATCGAGGCGTGGCGCGGCGTGGCGGGCCCCCAGGGCCCCCCTAGAGTCCTATATGTGGGAGAGACCCGCGAATGGATACAAAATGGTGGCGCGCGGAGCCCCGTCCTCCCTCTCCCCGCAGCCCCCTCGCCCTGCTCCGGCTCGCCCCCCGCCGCCCCCACCACCTGCCCCCCGCCAGCAGCGGTGCATCCTCGTGCGCTCTGCTCATGCGCGGCTGGCGGGCGGCCCGGTGCTCGGATCTTTTGACGCTCATAATTCCCAAACCGTTCAAATTAGTTAGGGAGTGTAAGCGAGCCGATTTATGTACAAATTTTAAGCTTTCTACACATGGTATTACTTTTTCGACACGATCCCCACAGCCCGAGAACGAGCAAAGCAGCTAACCCCACGGGACCGAGAGCCGCCTGCTCGTGTCGTCTGCTCGAGCAACGGCGAAACAGTGCTGCCAACGTGAAACTTAAAAGTTAACTATAAAATGATTATTTTAGAATTGCTCTCGTGATTTGGTTAATCCTCATACATACCATACTGCTTTCTCACAAAATTACCTATATTAAAGTTCCAAGTGTCAGCGTGTTATACCCAAATAATTGTATGAGTTAATTTTTACGGGTTGCAATTTTTGGATACAAAATGGCGGATTAGCTACCCACGTGACCCCTCTCAGCCAATCAGAGCTAGCGCCTCCGTTCGCGGGTCTCTCCCCAATATAGGACTCTAGGCCCCCCCGACCGGCGGGAGGGGGGGCGATCGGGCCGATCCAATCGGCAGCGCCCGTGACAGGCACCGCCCCCCGCCAGCGGAGCACTGGGGCCAGGCCAAGCATTCCAGACGCGTCGGGCGCATCAGGTCGACGGCGGAATCTCCTATACACTAGAAATCTTAGAGCGAGGATTTCTTCATGCTCTCTGAGCAAGAATTTTCCCCGAATTTCCTCGCTCTCTGGAGAGCAAGGTTTGATTACCTCGCTAGATTAGAGCAATAGATTAAGGAATGACACTCTATTTGAGTGATGATTGGGAAACCTCGCTCTTTTCGAGTGAAGACTTCTAAAGTTAATTTCTTTTGATTCGATTGAGATTTAAGTTAAGAATCATTCCCAATAAGAGCGAGGTTTCTAAATCATCACTTAAATGGAGCAAGGAGAAAAAATCTCACTCTTTCTAGGTCAGAGTTCTCACTTAGTATTTGCAGTGTAATAGAAACTGTTCACCGTGTGTCTCGTTTGACGGGCAGGCGACAGGTTGGTCGCCGGGACCACGGCCCCGATGCACTTTACAAGTGGACTGTACCGCCACGCACGCACGCGGGCGGGTTGCCCACCCGCACGGCGCCGTGGCCAGAGACGGCAGCAGGCCGTTCGAGGCCGTACAGTCTCAAGCAACGAACATCATGGACGAGGCGAATCATCCACCTCCTGGAGGACACTCGCACCCACACAACAAATGATTTGCCCTTTGCATAGGTTACGTACCGATATATCTATGGCGAAGAGATGAGAAGGATAGAGATGGTGCCAGGAGTCGTCACACACCGGGAGTGGGCTGCAAGCAAAGAGACGAGCAGGAGTGAGACAGGGCAACACGATGCGACAGGCAAGGTAAAGGAAAAACACTACAATTCAAGTTATAGTTTAAACTTCAAAGAGGGTTGAGACGTTCGAAAGTTTACTGAGAAGGGAAAAAAGTCCTAATTTGCGTTATCATGATTTTGAGTGTTTGACCCTCGCTCCATTGTGCAGAGGTACGACAGACGCCCCCCCCCCTCCCCTTTTGCCCTCTCTCTTCCTCAAAACGGAAACTTGTGCGCGTGAAATACTAGTGCGGGCGCGTCTTTAACGACTTCTGGATTAAGTACGTGGAATTGCCGGAAAGTCAGTTTTCCGCCACTATTTCAACCCGTCCGCCCGCCGGCCCCCACTCCCCCACCAGGGGCAGGTGGCGGCGGGGCGGGGCGCGCCGTACTTCGCCCTTTCATCACCTCCTTAGCGCGGCCTATTGCTGACAGTTCCACCGCTCGTGCACATTGCCACGGCACAAAACTTCCCGACCCAACACAGACCCTCCCCCCCCCACCTTTAGACCCTCCTACCTTCCGCTCGTTTTGGCCCGTCCCCTAAAAGCATTATAATTTTTGTCCTCAAATTAATCACAGTTTCTTCCGCTAACCCCTTCACCAGACCCCGCCATCGTCACACTCCTAACCTCCCGCGCCTATTCGCCGCGGCCCCGCTGCCTGTTCTATGGAGAATGCTTTCGGGAATAAGACACAATAACGCCAGCCGAGCCACACATTTATTAGATTAGTGCCGATTTAAAGCGAGTAATGCGGCCTGCATTCAAACACACATTGTGTCCCGACAGTCGGTTCACCAGTTGTGTCTCGCGCCCCGCGTGTGTGGTGCAACTGACACGCGTTCCCCAGCAGGGGAAGACGCCGCTGACGGTGACTGCAGCACTCATAGCTACAAATTAGAAAAGTTTTCCTTGCCAAACACAAAATGCGCTCACACATACACACACACATCCACACACACACATAGTCCGTCACCATCGCGGCGTCGCGAGAGGCATATCGTAGTGGTGCTGCAGCGTGCGCGCGGCCAGGTGAAGGAGGAAGAGGGAGAGGAAGAGAGGGGGAGAGAGGCGGCGCAGTGGGGGCAAAGTTCATCGAAGTGGCATGCAAACGAGGCAGCCTGCCTGCTTGCTCGGCTTTCGGGATGTGCGAAACAACCCAGCCAGGCGTGTAGACTGCTGCAGCTGCTTGCGCGCCGCGCGCAAATGCTTCCCGCCATTATATATTTTTTTCCCGCCTCTTTCGCCCTCATCCCCTTATAGCAGCTCGGCCCCGTGTCCCCGGCTCACACCTCCAGAACGCCCCCTCCCTCTCTTGCCCCTCCGGCCGGCGCGAGCCGAGCGGCGCCACAAATGAAAACGAATGCGTATCTTAATTACACACGCCGGTGATATTAACTGGCCTGGGAACACGATTAGCAGCTAAGCTAGCCGGACCGCAGCCAGCCAGCGGCTGCCGCGTCCCACACCGCCCCGCCTCCAGCGCATCATCCTTCCTTACTGGTTGCACTATGGAGGTTGATCCGCGCAGCGTCTTCAGCGACGACAGCCTCTGCTCGCATCGCAGATCACGACGGATTCATAAATGAAGAAAATCGAGCACCGTAAAAAACAAAAGAACAACCAGTGGTGCAAATGTGTGGGGCTCTTTGCCGGGGGAAGCTAAATGCCCGAGCAGAGCACGGCAAAGTGATGTGATCCCGAAACAAACCGCAAAGCGAGCAAAAGGCGCGCAACCAGACCAAGGCGAAAGGGGGAGAAACACAAGTGAGCAGCCAAAGACGCACACGTTCCCCCCAGCTCCCCTATCAGATCAGTGGGCCGGAAGGGCTGGAGACTGAGCGCCGCACCGCTACACCGATAATGTATATTTAATGTCGAACGAGCAATTCGATTCCTTCCCCCTCGGATCGCATGGCAAACAGCAGCGTCGGGGCGGGCGCGGGGCCGCTGAGCGAGATGTCAAGGCGCCGCGCCACGCCGCACAAAGGAAACACATGTTAAGAGTGTTGCCCTCCCCCGCCGCGCCCCGCCACGCCGCTATCGCGGTTTGTTGGTTTTTTCGCGTGGGGCTTAGACGTCAATCCCAGTCGGGGGCGGCAAAAGAGCAAGGGCGCCTGATCGGAGCTGACAAGAGGGAGGAGGAGGAGGAGGACGGAGGGAGGGGTCTCCTTCTCTCCTCGCGAACGCCGGGTGACAGCGACTCGCGGCTGTGCTCCCAGCCGTCTCCGACAAAAAGGCGCGTGAACGGGACAGACAGCGAGGCCCGGGCCGCCGCGTCGATCCTCCGGCCGCAGTGTCCGCGCGGCGTGCGTGGCCGAGGGGTGGCCTACCCGCCCGGCGGCGCGCCCACCGCCAGGTTGACCTTGTCAGGAGGACAAGTTCAAGTTAAAGTAAAGGGTTCAGCAGACGTTCCGAGGTTCACATGATGGTTAAGGTCACACACTCACACATACGCGCCCACTTATTTTTCCGTTGTTTTGTTTCAAGACGCGCGCCTGCGAGCGAAAACCTTTTACAAGCCCCTCCCGCCCTCCTCGTCGCAACAGCAATACGATTTATGGACATAAACAGTCGATAAATAACGTTGCGAGCAGAGAGAGAGAGAGAGAGAGAGAGAACACGGGAAATAAAGAGATGAGCCACTACACCACGGGGAGGGGGTGTCTGCACCCGCGCGAGTGCGTACGTGCGGAACCAAACGCAAACACCGACGACGGGATTTCTTTCTCCAAACCTACTACGTACATCAGAGTAAGATATAATAAAGGTTTTATCAGAACGACTAGAAGTAGGCAAGTCCAGCCAAATTGGCCGAGCCCGACCTTTGAAAATTTTACGCAGACAGAATCAGGGCAGGTTGAGCCGGTCATGTTATGTCACCTGCAATATATTGGCACGTTGACTGTAAGCTTTTTCGCTAGTCTTAGCTCGTGATGCGAGTCGCTCGCCGGGGTGGTAATAATTTCGTCGCATCGGCACCCCCTTCCCGACATCACCCCCACCCTCTCCTGCACCTCGCACTCCACATCCCCTCGACATACAATAATAACAGTAGCAGTAATAATACTGCTTCGAAGGAGATTTGAAGGCAGCGGGTCTTTAATCATTTCTTTTCCATTTCTTCCCAGGAATCGATCATTATTACTACGTCCTGTACTTTGGGGTCGGGGCTGCCACACTCCGGGGAGTGAGGGTGAGGAGAAGGACGGCGGTGAGCGAGGCGCCGGGGACGAAAGGGAGACATAAGGAGACGTAAGGACATGTTGGTATCAAAGAAGACGACAAACGTATGCAAGGAGCCCGTTGGGCTGCCTACCTTCACGGCGCGTGAAGACGCCCCTCCCCCCCCCCCCCCCCCCCTCGCCTTCTTGTAGACGCTCGCGATACAGATCACAGCGGATCCGTGGAACTCACCCCCACACCTCTCCCTCCCGAACAACACCAAACAACAAGAACACCACCACCACGGCACCAAGGGCGCCGGCATCACGGCATCCACCGCCACCACACCACCGCTTCGTGGCAGGAAAAGAAATATCAGAGGAATCAAAGCACCATTTGGGTCGGCTGATATTTTCCGGGGGAGCGTGATACTGTGTATATCGCTCGGGCCCGCCGCCAGGCAGACGGCGCCGGTTGAGTTGTTCGGTTGGGAAAGACGGGGGAGGGGTGGGAAAAAAAAGAAAGGAGGGTTACGAAAAGGTGTGTTCGGACACGCAACTTAAAGATTAGCCCGATCGGGTCGAACCGCCATGGAG